AACATTGAACATAAAATGTAATGAACACACATAATATTGTATTAAATTTAGTGAAGTGGAATAGAAATGGCCAAAAAGAGAATGTAGTGATTTTGAAATTACATACTAGGCAGAAATTATTAGACAAACAGCCTTGAAGTGATTTTAAGTACTAGCTTTTAGAAGCTGCTAACAAGATTGTCAAAATGTCCTCTAGCATACATTAGTATAATGATAACAATAATAACAGCACTGTTCAGTAGAAATCAAACATAACAGGAAGAAGGTATTTTTCCTATTTGTTGAATTGCATATAGGAAAACAATGTTTTCAGCTTGCATATTTGAGAGAGGTTATGAGTATTTATCAACAACACTTTTCTTTGGGAAAAAATGAAAGTAATTTTGAGGTTTTTTTGTTTGTTTGTTTTGTAATTTTGAGTTTTAGTCAGCTTAACTATTTTAAATCATAGTTAAATGATTGGTTTTTTCAGTTTCTAATTCTTTTGTGTAAAATGTTTCAGTAACAAAACCATCACCACCACAAATAAATTGTCTCGTATATAGGATACCTAAATACTTGCCTTGGAAGCAGTCTGGCCAGAATGCTCCTTAGAGGCAAGACTGTCTCGTGCACTTTGGACATGCTGTCGGGAGAGCCCAGTCTCTGGAGAAAGACATGCTCGGTAAAGTCAAGGGGCAGTGGAAGAGAGGAAGACCCTCAATGAAATTGACTGACACCGGGGCTGCAACAATGGGCTCAAGGAAGGCACGGTTGTGAGGATGGCCAAAGACCCGGCAGTGTTTGTTCTGTTGTGTATAGGGTTGCTGAGTTAGTTAATTGTGCCAGCCTGGCCGATAATCACATGTGCGGCTGGTTGAAAGGCGGAGGGATAAATGGGTGGTGAAGCCTCGCCTTTCTAGTTCTTGGGTCTCTTGTTTTGTGATGGTTGCACCGGGTGCAGCTGCCTTAGCAGTTCCCTGCTTCAGCTTGCAAGATTGACTTCCTACATGACATCCCCAAGGAGAAGCCACATGGACCTATCCCGAAGCAGCCCTGGGTGCTGGAGCAGCCGTGTGGAGACCCCTGCCAGTGCTGAGATGCTTATTCGTTCACTGACTCAGCTTTCCTCCTGCAGTCGGCATCATTGCCTCTGTTTTGTGAGGTAGAGGACTTTGTGGACTGGTGTTGGGTAAATGGGTTAATGTTGGACTTGTGGGCTTGGGCAGCATTGGGTTGGGATGTTTTCATGACGCACATTTTCTTTACATAAAACTCTCTTATACATGAGTCGCTGTGAATTTGTTTCTCCAAAGTACCCAGACTATTACAGTTGCCTAAATAGTAATTCTCAGCTAATCATGGTAGTTTATTTTCCTCCTAGTATATTGTTCAGGGGTGAGCACATGACCAACAAAGAAAAACACAAAACAAAAGGAAACTAAATGACAGGTAAACCCTATCTATTAGAGTACTTCCAGGGAAATTATTGATATTCTTAAAAGCAAAGCAAAAAGCTAGTCCCTCAATTCCACAGAAAGCTATCCTTCTGGATGTGCTTATAGGAACAGCTAGTACCATTGCAGGAAACCTAAGAACACTGCCAACATAAGAAGATGGGCAGAATCAAGGGATTCGCACAGCAGCCAGAGCCCTGATTTAATCTGCATGGAGTCCGTCCTTGTTATGTGTAAATAATAAATGTCCTTATTGGTTTCCTATGATTCATCTCGATATAAGAAACCATGGCAGTAATTATCCCAAATCCTCTTTTTAAAGTACAAAAAAGGTGTGTTAAAACTCATGTTGGAAAACACTCCTCTAACACAGCAAACTTCACAACATGTTGTGCTGTGTTAAAAGTTGTAAGTAAGGAAATTCATTTACCGCTTTAGAAACGTCTTGCTTCCTCTTATTTTGTGAAGAGGACTTGATATTAAAGAAGAACTAACTTTGGTAAACACGTGAACAATGGAGACAGCATCAACAAAAGATCATCCAACAAAAAAGAAGTACTAGTATAGCATCTGGAGTCTTAAAGGCTTGAAGGTAAACAAGCGGCCATCTAGCTCAGAAGCAACAACGCCCACATGGAAGAAGCACACCAGCCTGTGCGATCACGAAGTGCCGAAGGGATCAGTTATTAGACATCAAAGAACAGAAAAACGTATCATTGTGAATGAGGGGGAGTGCAGAGTGGAGACCCAAAGGCCATCTGTAGGCAATTGGACATCCCCTTATGGAAGGGTTGTGGGGAGGAGATGAGCCAGTCACGGTGCAGGGTAGCAACGATGAAACACAACTTTCCTCTAGTTCCTAAATGCTTTCTCCCCACCCATTATCATGATGCCAATTCTACCTTACAAATTTGGCTAGACCAGCGGATGTACACTGGTACAGACAGGAACTGGAAACACAAGGGATGCAGAGCAGATGATCCCCTCAGGACCAGTGGTGAGAGTGGCGATACCAGGAGGGTTGGGGGAGGGTGGGGTGGAAAGGGGGAACCAATTACAAGGATCTACATACAACCTCCTCCCTGGGGGATGGACAACAGAAAAGTGGGTGAAGGGAGACATCGGACAGTGTAAGATATGACAAAATAATAATTTATAAATTATCAATGATTCATGAGAGAGGGTGGAGGTAGGGGGAAAATGAGGAGCTGATGGCAGGGGCTTAAGTGGAGAGCAAATGTTTTGAGAATGATGAGGGCAATGAAAGTACAAATGTGCTTTACACAATTGATGTATGTATGGATTGTGATGAGTTGTATGTGCCCCTAATAAAATGATTTTTAAAAAAAAAAGAATTACTAGTAGTCTTAATGTAGACTAATAGGATTTTGCAGCATAGTTGGCAATACATCACAATATTCCAATTTGTCACCTTCTTCATTTGAAAAACAAAAGAAAGTGGTAATATAGAAATCAGGATGAAGATAATTTAGAATGCCTTATTTAATAGGTATAAAAACTAATAAATAATTAGAAAAATTGGATGAGAGTACACTTAACAGTAAGAGGAGCCTAAGTTATTTAACTTTCCGTACCTGTTTTGATTTTCATAGTATATGCAAAGAGCCTAGCACAAAGCCTAATACAACATGTACAACATATATATGTATGTATACACACACACACACACACACACACACATATATAGTAGAGAGAGAGAGAACTAGCTATTACTTTCATAAAACTTTTAAGATAAAAAAGTCAGCAAAAGAATAGAAACCACAAACTATAACAGGTTTACCTCTCCTAGTTTTCTTAGAAAACAGGCTTGAATTTGCTTTGGTTGACAAAAATACTTGTATGTGACTAGTCATTACTCTAACCATAATTGCCAGAGACATCGGTACAAAATAATTGTAAAACTGACCCCACTCATTACGGGACATTTGTAGTAATCCTGCCAATCGATGGTAGAGTAATTCATAACAACTCCAACCATCTCACATGCCACAATTCTCAGTGGCTTTCAAAATGATTAATGAGGCTATTAGAGTTCATGGTTCTATGGGTCAATGAGGTCCAAAGAGCAGCAATAAGCATTAAAGTGTAAAGGTGCCACATGTACAGAGGTTGATATTAAATGGAAGCAAGCAAACAGGTAGGAAATGCTGCTTCTGAATACTTGCAAATAGTTTTTACTAAAAAGTACCATTTTTAAAGATAAAACCCAACTATTTTTTGAAGTATATAAGTAATATATACCAATTATATGAAGCAGCTACATAAAATTCATGGAAAAATGGAATTAAAAGACAACAGAATTTTTTCGTGAACTTTTTGAAACCCCCCCAAATATATTTTAAGTATTTAGCAATCAAAAGGGAAAGTTATGTGAAAACTATTTGCATAATTACTATTTTCAAATAGTTTTTGGAAGATTAGTACATACAGATAATTAAAGTGTCAGAATCATATAATCTAGGGGTTCTAGCTATATTCAATAAAAAGGAACAACACCATGGTTACTGAGCAGATTTCAATTCAATTCATAACAATGATATACAGGGTTCAGAGATTGTAAATCTTTATGGGGCAGGATCGCCTCCTCTTTCTCCTGATGGATTTGAATCAGAGACCTTTAAGAGAGCAGGCCAACACTTACCCAACAGCATCAAAGGCTTTTTACATTCATTAGAGAGCAGCATCTCACTGTCTTATATTCATTAGAGAGCAACATCTCACTGTCCGGGAGTCAGTTACGACTCTCAGTGACCCGACAGTACAGAGCAGAGCTGTCCCTGTGGGTTTCCAAGGCTAGACTCTTTACGGAGCAGAAACCTTAGTTTCTCCCTCAGAACAACTGGTCGATGTGAGCTGTTGAGCAGCAGTGCAACCTGTATGCCACCAGGTAACCTATGTTCAGCATCGAGTTGGTTAAATGTTGAACACATGAACACGATTATTATGTTAACTTATTTAAAAATTAAGTCTTCTAAAATATTTCCTAAAAACCAATGTCCTGAATTAATGTCTTAAAAAATAAAATTTACCAATATTTACTAAAGAAACAGATAATCTCACTAACCCTAATATATCACCAAAAGTAGAATGTACAGACAAAAAGCTTACGTAGTACTGGTTTCACTGATAATATGCAAGGTGCAAATCATAGTATGTTACAGAATCTTTTGTTTTAAACATAAATGCAAAAGAATCACTGACCAGTATATTTTATTAATTTTTATAATAGCTTCAGTTTGATTATTAAATCCCTGCAATACAAATCAAAACTAAAAACTAGATTGCAAAATACAAAAGAAAATTAAGTTTATTAAATATTTCACACACAGATACTAAATATTTCAAAAACACATATAGGAGGAGGCACCCAAAAAAACCCCAGATTTCCCCCCCCCCCAAGTATGTATTTATTTATTTTTTTACAAAATAACCTTATCACCTTCAAAGTTCTCTCCATTACACTTAATCCCTTTGTCAAATCTGCAATTCCATTCTTGGAAACATTTTTCAAACTCATCTGTTTGAATGGCTGACAACACCCACCTTGCCTTTTCTTCACCTCTTTTATGTCATCAAATCGCTGTCCTACCATGTCCCTCTGCATTTGTGGACACAAAAAGACATAGCATGGAGTGAGGTCAGGTGAGTAAGGTACGTGGGGCAAGAGAGATTTTTGTCCCAAACTGGCATGCTGAAATGGCTGTGGAGCAGATGCATTGTTGTGGTAGAAAAACCAGTCCTCAGTCTACCACACATCAGGCCTTTTTTGTTGGATACTCTTAGGCTATCTTTTCAGAACCTCTAAA